ACCCGTCTGTTCTCGTGTGAACAAATTATTAAAGCCAACCAGATGGACTATATATCAGACCAATTTAAAACAACAAAAATAAAGGAAACATATCACCTCAGTCTCTAAAAATTATGCGTCACGAAAAGCAAATTAAAGTTGGATTTTTGTATGAGATCCAACTTTAAGCAGAAAGCTCTAGTTAATTAGGCGGAGGGATATTTGTAGTTTCCCGTTAGCTCAGAAATTTGCTAAAAATACAAGTGGTGATAGCAACAGAGCCACTATTGGCTCAGATGGGGGAGGGCTCACAAATTATTGGGCTGCAGCTGCTAAAACAGCAGGACTTCTAACAGGGGATTGTGGGAAATGATGTTCACACCACTAAACGAGCTGTGGTTTTGGTATTATAATATTATATTATATAATATTATAATTTGACGTTCTGTGGCTGCGTTCAGTGATTTTTGTTGACTTGTTGAATTAATATGCATGCACACAATTATACAATTTTTGATCCTGTTGAAATGTATTGCCTTATAGCCTCAAGAGTCTCTACTAACAGATGTTTCTATAATTTTGACACCCCATTTATATCAGTCTAAGCTAAAACACAAATACCATAATGCAATACGTACAGGCTCCAAAATTATCACACAGCATGAAGAGAAGCTGCAGATGTACTATACACAAGCATTTCACAGTAGGCTACTTAAGAAAAGGTTAGTTACTTTCCGCCAGTTTATTTTACACATGTGAGAAAATATTAACTTTATAGGACACTAAACTCATGTAGATTGTTAGGTTTCATAGCTATCAATAGAGAGTTCAGTGAAGGATAACAACAACAACAATTATAATATTTTTTATCTTATTGCTATTTAGGCCTTGTTTATAATTTCAACCAAAGATATCTGATATTTTGGGTTTGTTGAAATGTTTTTTTTTCATTTAAAGGAGGATAATTGATTAAAATTTTTATTTGTTTGTCATTTAAAAAACAACGGTTATAACAGTCTTCTTAAATCAGTGACGTCACATTTGGGCGACACTCATCTTTGTCAGTGAACAAAATGGCATCTTACTGTTTGACTGTTACTAGGCTGCAGGTAAGAAAACGTTATTTTACTTTTACCAAGAAATTAACTGTCCTGCTTTCGAGTATATATGTGACAACAGGTAAGCTGTGTCGCGTGGCACGACCACCGTCGCTTCCGGTTGACTGACAGCGGATAAATGTAGAGCTGGACCGAGCTGCTGTCTGTCAGGTCACACTGTCCCAGCGTGACTCCTGACAGCGACGCATATGTAACGGTTATAAACCCTGTGCGACCAAACAATCGCCAGTATTAAGTTATGTTGTTGTTAATAACACTGACAAATTCTTTCAACACCAACTGAATAGTGGCTGTAAACGAATCTATGTGCCATGATGTTTGCAAGGTGATCACAAGGTTACGGACTTTTGTTAACGCACACTTCACTCCTGACATCTGGGACTGATGCCTAGCAGCGTGTCTGCTCCTGTGTTGGGTAGCATAGCGACTCAAACACTAAGTTATATGCACATTCTGAAAAGAATCGGGTTTTCTGTTACTTATGTGTTTAAAAAAGATGTAAATACAATAAGTCTGCCGGATTATTTTCTTACAACATAGACCTGCTGTCATCAGCGTCCTGTCTTGTAAGCGGTTTGTCTGCTGAGTGAATTTGTGTAATGTTTCTTGGTGCTTTATCGTCCTATTATCCAAATCATTCATACAGATTATGCCACCACAGATACACTCAGTTGTCAGGTTATTGGGTACATCAAGCTAAAATGTATGTAGTTCAATAAAACTGTCTACAATAAATGCTCCATTTGTGAAGGTCATAATGTTCAGTTTTGATGAAACTGTGTTAGAGAGGTGCTGATTCAAGTGTATGGTAATTTTTGAAGCTGCAGTTGGTGGCCTGTGTGAATGTTTTAAAAACATTTGAGTACAGTTTGTATGACTAAGGAACCATCTGTCTTTAGTTTGCAAAGGCAATGGACATCCTAAATTAACCAAAAAAGACCAAAGTAACCACATGTAGGCTATTTTTATTTCCACTGATCTTTTTTGTGGTTACAGTTCTACTCTGGTTTCCTTTGCCTGATCAAACTGTATATGATCTCACAATAATCATTTGATCACAGAAGTCTGTGCTTAATTGCATATAAATGTTATAATATGACAAGTATTTAAATAAATCTTTCATAGAATATTAATCAAATGAATTTCTGGATGACAAGTATGTGCATTAAGTTGTAATGGACCAAGATGGACACATCACATATCCAGTGTAAGATTATGTTTTGCCTCTTTTTATCTGCTCGTGAATTCACATTCTTTTGTAATTTAATTGCTGCTCTTCATCTACATCGTTACTTAGTAACTTAGTCCTACAAATAGAACTTGGTTTATGTTGTTATTTCTCTGAGTTGTTTTCTTTCTCCTCTGGTATAGCTGGCCCTTGGAACTGGGGCAAGACGATTTCATGTGTCTGCAGCCTTCAGCGCCAAGGCCAAGGTGGCCATGAGCCACTTTGAGCCCAGCTCCAGCATTAACTATGAGAAGATGCATGAGAACATCAACACTGTACGCAGGAGGTCAGCAGTTGCCCTTGCCAGTTTTTGTGTTGGTGGTGTTTGTACAGCTGCGCAGGAAATCACATTTACAGTGTTTAATTGTCAGGAGCTAAGTTTGGATGGCCTGGTGGCTTCCTCTTATTGAGCTGACCCCACGCTGTGATCCAGGAATAGGACATTCAGCCCCCAGATGTTTTGCTGTCTTGATAATCCATAGTTACCATTTGTGTTGAGGGATTTCCTAGATCTTTGCAGCAGGCCAAATATAGTACTTTCCAAAAGAACTGCTAGTTTGACTTTTGGGCTAAACTGTTCAATTTGAAGCATGAGATTAGGATCTCAGATGGTAAAACTAATGTTCAAACATTTCTGCCTCATGGCGCTTTAACTATATCAAGGGAAAATATCTTTTATGTGATTCTACAATACTCATACAAATCCACCCCACCAGGCTCAACAGACCTCTCACTCTGTCAGAGAAGATCGTGTATGGTCACCTGGACAATCCAGCAGGGCAGGAGATCGACCGTGGACGCACCTATCTGCGTCTGCGTCCGGACCGCGTGGCTATGCAGGATGCTACAGCTCAGATGGCAATGCTTCAGTTCATCAGCAGCGGCCTCCCTAGGGTGGCGGTTCCTTCCACCATCCATTGCGATCACCTGATTGAAGCTCAGATTGGAGGGACTCAGGACCTGCAGAAGGCTAAGGTGAGGACACACAGAGAGAAGACGGCGATACTGGAGTATGGAGTACTTTATATATTGAACATATATGTGTATGGTACAGCTATTGGTTGCAAATTGCCAGTGCAATAAGAAGAAGGAGAGCTTGGCAAGCTTTTTATTACATTATTACTTTTTTTTTTATTGTCAAAGTAAGTATTCCTCTGGTTTCAAGTTTAAGTGACTAGACCTGGTTCAGGTTTTTACAGCTACACACATTTTATACCCACAGTGGTAGCTGACAACACTGTGTTTTCAAAGTTTGTATCTGATGTCAGCCTATTATTGCGTTGGCGAGACAGTTGCAGAGAATCTACAGCCTCATAAGTTTCTCCTCTGGCTTTGAGCTCAGGTTATTATGACGTTTTGTTGGTTACCACAAAGCAACATTTCTGTTTTTGGCTATGCTTCTAAAGTGTTGCAGTGTGTTGTGAACATTATCTCTCTTTTTTTTTTTTTTGCTTTTAAATATTTAGTTCATTTTAATATTTTGTCAAGAGCAAAACAGATTCATGCAGTTGTTAGAACATCTTCAGGATGTTATGTTGTGGGTGATTTTGGTTCAGTGGGTAGAGCGGTCGTCTCCAACTGGAGGGTTGGAGGTTCGAATCTCGGTGCCTGCAGTCCACATGTTGAAGTGTCCTTGGGCAAGACCCCTTGTTGCCCCCGATGGTTAGAGCCATCGGTGTGAGTTGACGCCGCAGATGGCTGCCTCGGTTCTGTGCCGGAAACAAATTCCTTGTGTGTAACATACTTGGCCAAATAAAGGTGATTATTTTTAAGGGTTTGCTTTGGGCACAATAGATGTAGTTTCATGGCTTGGTTCAAATTCTGATTTTGGTCAAATTATCAAGTTAGCCATGTGCCTGAAGTTGAATAACTGGATTTAGGATTAAGTCCTGCACCCAAGTTCACTCTAGTTTCATGATTGCATGAAAATAACCTTAACAGAAGCACTTATTACTTTTACCCCAGGAGGTGAACCAGGAAGTGTACAATTTTCTTGCAACTGCTGCTGCCAAATATGGAGTTGGCTTCTGGAAGCCAGGCTCAGGGATCATCCATCAGGTACAGTACACTGATTTATAGGGATGCTATAAATCTTCTGGCTTTTCCGCACTTCACAGTCCACAGTGCATTTCTGTCAGTGAAATAACAGTCCAAAACTGTTAAGGTCCTGAGAAGAAAATGTGTAACTAACTGTGAACGTCCTGTGAAAAGATCATCCTGGAGAATTATGCCTATCCTGGAGTCCTGTTGATTGGTACAGACTCCCACACTCCTAACGGCGGCGGCCTGGGTGGCATCTGTATTGGAGTGGGTGGAGCTGATGCTGTGGATGTCATGGCTGGAATCCCATGGGAGCTCAAATGTCCCAACGTGAGTCACTGGCATCATCTAATTTATTTGAAACTCAGCTTCTACAGTTTCTATCCTGTGGATGGTTTTTAATGAATGTGTCTGTTTGTTTAAGGCTGCGTGTGGTGTTTTTTCCTTCAGGTGATTGGAGTGAGACTGACAGGCACCCTGTCTGGTTGGACCTCTCCGAAGGACGTCATCCTGAAGGTGGCGGGCATCCTGACTGTGAAGGGCGGCACTGGAGCCATTGTGGAGTATCATGGTCCTGGAGTTGACTCCATCTCCTGCACCGGTGATGAAATACTTTCAACACTGCTCATTTTGTATTGAAGACAAGACAGCCTCAACTGCCATGTCTTGCTTGAATAGATAATGCATTTCTTCAAGTTTAGTGCGGTATAATTTACTGTAATGGTAAAATAACACTTTGATTTTTCAGGAATGGCCACTATCTGTAACATGGGTGCTGAGATCGGAGCCACCACATCCGTTTTCCCCTACAACCACCGCATGAGGACGTACCTGGAGAAAACTGGCCGTGGAGGTCAGTCTCTTACTCTGAGCCTCTGTATGTTTTGTCTTTATACACTGTGTCTAACCTCCAGCTTTGTCTCCTTCTTCATTTCGACTCAGAGATTGCCTCTGTGGCTAATCAGTTTAAGGATGACTTGGTCCCAGATAAGGGCTGTGAGTACGACCAGGTCATTGAGATTAACCTGAGCGAGGTGAGTTTCTTGACATTTGTCATGCAATGTAGGATGTTATCTGCATGTCTTAACTCCATATTACATACTGTACTAATCATCATAGTTTACTGCTTGCCTGTTTATTTGAGTGAGGCTAGGCTAGATAGCAGAAGCAGCTGTCTGTATAATGCAGTTCAATTCAGCAACTGCACTAACTCCAGCCTCCACAATGCTGATACAGTCAAATCAACCAAATCTAAACATGATCATCTTCCTAAAGGAGGACTTACTGCAGGCCTGTTGGATTAGACTAACTTAGTTTGAGATAGGTACACCTAATAAACTGACAACTGAGTGTATGTGTGAAGGTCAAACTGCTAATTTTAGGATGTTTAAACCAGTCAGATCTTTCTGAAGCTGTTTCACCACCTCTCACAATTGATTTAATGCTTTGTGAGCAGCTTCTCATTTTCTTTGTGTGTTGTGGAAGAAGAATATTCTTGAACAGCACACTCAGAAATAAACTCTTTTATATGCATTGTCTCTGTTTGAGTAGACTTTATTTAGTCACTTTTGCAGTGTTCATAACATACTTATAACTTGATTAGTCATCATCCTGTCAGTCTGTGTGTGGACACAGGAAGTCTGTCACATTATTAACTGATGAAGCAGATGATTTGACTGATTTCAGACCATCCTGCTGCTAAAATACATTTGATTCAAGCACCTCAACATAGAAACCTAATTATTCATTAGCTGGGTCATTTAGTCATTAGCTTAATGAATGACCTGGATACTGAGTCTGGGCAGTAAACCAAATGCAAAAATATGATTGAGAAATCCTAACCTGTCAAATGTTGTGTAAAAGCTTCAGCCCACCAAACCAGCTACAGCAGCCACTTCTCATTTAGTCACATGGTTTGTCTTTGTTCTGTCTCATGTGGTCATGACATGCTTATTAGTGTTCCTTGTTCAATGTCTCTATATTTAGAAAGCAACATTTATAGCACATGCTAATGTGTCCCACATGCCTCGTTTCACTCGTCCTCTCTCAGCTGAAGCCCCACATCAACGGTCCATTCACCCCTGACCTGGCCCACCTCGTGTCTGAGATTGGGGCCATTGCTAAGAAGAGCGGCTGGCCCCTGGAGGTTAAAGTCGGTCAGTATTTGTGATGCAGCCGTATTACCTTACAGTTGATCATGTCTTTAATGCTTTGTCTAGTGAAATTCGATGTTTCTTTCTTGTTCCTACTAGCTGTGTTACTGATCAGATGTGATCAGGTCACACCGCAGCTCTGTCATGTGACTTAGCAGAATGAGGACTGAATGCAGTATAATTCAGGTCATCAACAGAATGAGTATAATTATGATGACTGAGATATATGATTACAGATGTGCTCATCTTTTCTCTTCAACAACTTTGTCCCATCTCAAACAAGATGTAAAAAAACCAGACGAGTGCTTCCACTCAGTTACTGTCACTGTGTACTCTCTCACCTCAGTTTACTTCTTCTCCTGCAGGTCTGATTGGCAGCTGCACCAACTCGAGCTACGAGGACATGGGCAGAGCAGCTTCTCTGGCCAAACAGGCTCTGAATAAAGGTTTGAAGTGCAAGGCCCAGTTCACAGTGACCCCTGGTTCTGAACAGATTCGTGCCACTATTGAGAGGGATGGATATGTGAGTCAGATTCTCACCAGCTTAAATTGAAACCAGTGATCCCTAATATCTGGGTAGTTTGGACTAGTTTTTTTTTTTCCACTAGGCTTTAGATTCCTATCTCTTTAAAAGATGCAGAAAATCTTTTCTTCAAACTGATGGTGTTTATTTTCCAGTCCAAGACCCTGAGCGATGTTGGTGGAGTCATGCTCGCCAATGCCTGTGGACCCTGTATCGGACAATGGGACAGGTACGCAGGTTAATATTACCCACCAGCAGCAGGATCATGGCAGCACTTTCAGATCAGCGTACCCTCCTCACCACCTCTGGTTCATGAAAAGGAATATTGAAAACTAATGTTGATTAAATGTCACGGGCCTTAGAGGAAGACTACTGCTGTTTTTAGTAGCAGTTTGTGAAACAGGTGGCAGGTACATGAAGATCAAATGGCTCTGAGAGATGTCAGTTAACTGAAACATGTCAGCCTAACGTGATCTGTTTGGTGTTTCTTCAGGAAGGACGTAAAGAAAGGAGAAAAGAATACTATCGTCACATCCTTCAACAGGAACTTCACAGCCAGGAATGACGCCAACCCGGCTACTCATGCTTTCGTCACCTCTCCTGAGGTCAGAAGTACTGCTCATTGAACATATACATACATAAAATAGGTACTTGGCAATTCACAGTTAGTACAGTAGCTCATCATAGTGGGTGCGTATCAGTGAAGCGCCTTCACATTTGTACATCCTCTGTCTCACGATCTCGGTGATCTCAGCACACGTCCCTGTTGGTTAAATGTCTGTTATGTATTTCATTTCACTGTAGATTGTCACCGCCTTGGCCCTTGCCGGGACCCTCGACTTCAACCCTGAGACTGACTACCTGACCGCTCCTAATGGAGAGAAGTTCAAGCTAGAACCCCCCACCGGTGATGAGCTCCCATCCAGAGACTTCGACCCAGGCCAGGACACCTACCAGCATCCCCCGGCCGAGGGCAGCTCAGTCCAGGTGTGTTTTTAAAGAATGAATTTTAGAGGTAAACATCATAACACAATAAAAGTTTGAACTGGTTGTCGACAGAGATGGCACGATCAGAGCTTGTTTAGAGAGAATTGTGTGACGGTTGTGTTGACAAAAAAAGCTTCTTTGTGTTCAGATAGAATTCAGTTTGATCTGGAGCTTGTCTACTTCAATACCTTTATGTTTTACCTTGATTTGATGTTGTTCAGGTGGATGTGAATCCGTCCAGCAACCGTCTGCAGCTCCTGGAGCCGTTTGACAAGTGGCATGGAAAAGACCTGGAAGACATGAGGGTCCTCATCAAGGTGAGCAGAGTGGCTGCTGTGCAAGTGAGAGGGAGGCAATTGATCTAAATGGCACAGTAAATGTATCATCAGCCCATGTTTGTCATTGTGTGAGCTGAAAGTAAGAAAACAATTAAGTGTGACAACGAAGCTATACTTGACACAGGCTTGCTAATATTCAGCCAGTTTGTTACTGTCAACAATCAAGTGAGCCTGATATACAACTTACTCCACTTAAAAGCACATCACCAGGCCCGGACGGAATCTGCACCTGCAGAATTTCAACACCTCCTCAGGTTTTCTGCACATTTTGAAAAGAAAATAGAAACTCAGAATGTGTTTGCCCCCGCCTGCATGTGTGCAACAGTTGTGTGATGTTGTGGGAGGATGCACCAAGGATCTGACATTGACATCTACTTCACACCTTGTCTGGCTGGTTGCACATCTCTGTCTAGCGCTCCTTTATCATACCTTGAACCTGACACTTCACCCTCTAGAGCTGTTCCCCTGTGGCCTGTGTGAACAGCCCAGGTTAATGTGTAATAACAAAGATTGTCTGAAAACACGTACCATTATCACAACTCCCCCTCACCCCTCCTTCTTTACATAGTGGTCGTCAGTAGGCTACGTCTAAAGAAATTGTATTTCAGTGGCCATTTGTCCTTAAATTTAATGCTGGTGGAATTTCCAACAAATGTTCACACTTTGAGTGTCTTAACATGTCTATGGAAAAAAAATTCTTAGTTTTAAAGTTTATATAAAGGGACTTTTTTTCACCCTGCTCAAGATCATTTTAGGTTGCTTTAATGCATTTTTGTGCTTTTGCTAAAAAAAATAATGGGTGTTAGCTAAGTTAATAATTACTTTTCCAAGCAAAAGAAATCACTTTGTTGTATTCCACAGATTTTGATCCTGAATAACTACAGAAAACTGTAAGCAAAAAAAAAAATCGGCAGATTCGTTTGGGCCTGCACATCACTGAGCCGTGAACATGAACACATAAGGGAAGTTTGTTTTAATTTGAGCCCACTTGCACCATCCTGCTGCTGTAGGTAGGTAGGGACTTTATTGATCCCTCAATGGGGAAATTTCAGTGTTTCAGCAGCAATAGAGAACAGACAGCATAAAACCATGAGAGCACACACATCGTGATAAATAAATTCCAAGAACTCAAAAATAGACAGAATCAAGTATTTGAATAATCAAGAACAGAATTTACATATGTGCATATTAAACATGCATTTTACCCCAGGATTTGAGTATTGCACCTCAGTTGACTATTACATAGTCCCTCATACTTTCACCTAGCTTATCACTGCAGTGATGTATTGTACAGTCTGATTGCTGTGAGGAGGAACGACCTACGGTAACGCACCTTCTTACACTGGGGATGTAACAGTCTTGTGCTAAAAGAACTGTTCAGAGCCTCTACTGTGTGGTGCAGGGGATGGGAGGGGTCGTGCATGATGGATGTTAGTTTTACCAGCATCCTACTGTCCGCCGCCTCCTCAATGGAGTCTAGGGGCAGCCCAGGACAGACCCAGCTCTCTTGACCAGCTTGTTTAGTCTCTTCATGTCCCTGTCCGTGCTACCTCCTGCCCAGCCCACAACAGTGTAAAAAACAGCAGATGCCACTACAGTATCATAAAAAGTCCAAAGGAGTGTCCCCCGCACACCAAAGGACGTGAGTCTCCTCAACAAGTGGAGGTGGCTCTGGCCCTTCCTGTACAGGGCATCAGTGTTTTCAGTCCAATCCAGTTTGTTGTTGAGGTGGACCCCCAGGTATTTAAAGGTGTCCACAATCTCAAATATCTGAGCCCTGAAAGCTGACCAGAGTGAGGGCTGGTGATTTCTGCCAGGGATCAAATCACCATCTCTTTAGTCTTACTGTTGTTCAGGACCAGTCGATTTTCCTCACACCACTTCACAAAGTCAGTAACAACCCCCCTGTATTCCCGCTCATCCCCCGCCTGATACACATCCAACAATGGCGATGTCATCAGAGAACTTTTGTAGGTGACCGTGGTGGGAATTGTACTTGAAGTCCGACGTGTAGAGGGTGAACAGAAAGGGGGAAAGCACCATCCCCTGGGGCGCCCCCGTGCTGCAGACCACCACGTCCAACACAGTCACGCAGCCTGACAAACTATTCCCCCTCAGCAGTGATGGCTGGACTGTGTTGAAAGCACTGGAGAAGTCAAAGAACATGACCCTCACCATGCTTCTGGGGGACTCCAGATGAGATAGGGCTGTGTAAACCTTCATTATGGCACCAAATGTATATTAATCCATGGCTCCAACAAATATGTTGCTTACTCCTGCGAGACTAATGTTTGCTAAAAACTACATTGTCCAGAATTACTGAACCATTTTTAAGAGTGAAGCTATAAATTTGTGGCCCCTTTTCAAAGGTTTATGTTTTCATTAGGAAGGACTGGACTCGGTTGTGAGAGACTGGGTAAAGAATTAGAAATCTTTTGTGTCTGACTAACACATTGATGGTTTTAGTCTTTTCATAGAACTATTTGACAGTAACAACAAGTCCTGCCCTCTAAATAAAGAGGAACAATTGGTACACGGTGCGGAGGATGGCTATACTAACAGAGCTTTTTGTTTGGATACAGCTTCTGAAAAATCAAGGATGACTGACATTCTGCTGAAAAACAAAGGGTGTAGAACTGCTCTGTGACTTCATTCCTTCCTTCTGCATTCTGTGCTGCACCTCATCTTCCTACAGGTGAAGGGAAAGTGTACAACTGACCATATCAGTGCCGCCGGGCCCTGGCTGAAATTCCGTGGTCACCTGGACAATATCTCCAACAACCTACTGATCGGTGCAGTCAACATTGAGAACGATGCCGTGAACAAGGTGAAGAACCAGCTGACAGGAGAATACGAAGGTGTGCCTGATGTGGCACGCCACTACAAGGTGAGTGTGTCAGGAAACAGTCTGTTGATTACTTACATTCTTAGTGGTACAGGAACTTAAACAGCACACATGACATGCTGTATGTTAGCGTTGTTAAACAAAAAAAAAAAATCCCTGAGAAATTCTTACTTGTGTTGCATATTTTCTCCAAAACCACTTCCCAGTTTCCCGTTCAGCACTTTCTTACATAAAGCCCTGCTGCTGAAAGGTGCTCTTCAGATCAGATTGCCTCGCCTTTATTTGTCTGCTCTGTCCACACCTAAAAAACTTTAAACTTGTCTTTGATCTGTGTTTAACTCCCTAATCCAGGCCAGTGGGGTGAACTGGGTGGTGGTTGGAGACGAGAACTACGGGGAAGGGTCCAGCAGAGAGCACGCTGCCCTGGAGCCGCGACACCTGGGAGGACGCGCCATTATCGTCAAGAGCTTTGCTAGAATCCATGGTAAGTGTCAGTGAAAACATCACTGGATGTGCAATGTTATAACCCATTCATTTATTTTCTTTATGAAAGAAGAAACAGGGAAGCAATATCTTTTCTTGTAGTTCAGCATAAGAATCATTCAAATACTGCCTTGTGTGTATATGATATATTTGCTGCAGGTCTTCCCCTAGTGCTTATCAAACGTATACATTTACAGAAAAGAAAGAACAAACAAAGAAAAGTTAATATTTTCTTTACAACATAATCACTAGGCTCTCCTGTGTTAACCATGTCCTGGAGTCCAGCCAGCAGCAGCATCTTAATTCAATACTTGTCTTTTCAACCATTCTTGTACACATCCCAGTATGGTAATGGTTTGCAGTTTGGTTTTCACTGTTTCTCCAGTAAACAGGGAGGCTACGCTCATAATGGGATTTCGGAGAGGGGGTAGTAAAATACCTTATCAGGTTTTCCAGTCAAACTGCCTCCATTTGGCACACTTCCACCGATTCCTCCGTGTTGTTGTCCATTCTTCCTCAGATGTAATTATCCCTCCTTCCTTCTTTCAGTTTGCTTTAATGTATGAAGTCAAATGGGTTTTAAGGTTTAACAGACCCTTGTACAGGCATGAAATGATTCTACTTACCAATATGAGGAGGCAGACGTGACTGGGTTCCAGAGGGAGCTGATGATTACTTATTCTGGTGTGTTTACACTCTGCCAGAATGGAGATGTCTCCAGCCGTGTCTAAGCATCTTTAAGTTAGTCCATTAGTGCCGGTTTGTTGCATATAGGTACATGGGGAGCTGAAAGCCTGTCTGATCTGAGGAAGGTTCCTTTCATTATTGTGAAAAGATTCCCTCAGAACTGCCAGAAAACAAAACAAAAATGATGATGTTTGGTAAATTTAGTTTATAAATTTGTATAAAAAAGCTTTCAACTTAATTTGGCCAAGGGGAAGAAAGATTTCCAGCAGCATGGATTTTATGTAAATGGAACAGCTAAATCATCATGAGGACTGCTGCTAATCGATAACATGGAGACGAGCACACTCTCATTCATTATTTTCCATGACCTTGTGGTTCTGTGTAACAGATCTACTCCTGTCAGACAGACAGAGCCCTTCTCTTGTTACCTGATGTATGCACACGGTGAGTCAATATCTTGCTGTCATCTCTTGTTTTCTCCTCACAGAGACTAATCTGAAGAAGCAGGGCCTGCTGCCTCTGACTTTTGCTGACCCCCGCGACTATGAAAGAATTCGCCCTGATGACAAGATTTCAATCACAGGCCTGAAGTCCTTCGCTCCTGGCAAGGTGAGCAGTTTTCCACACTGATGAAACATTGATCCACAGGACAGCCTAGCTTCTCCTGGCATTATGTGGAAGAGAGGGTGGATAAATGATTGACACGTGATTCATGTTTGTGTCCTGTGTCCTCAGCCCCTGACAGCAGTGATCAGGCACAGTGATGGCAGTCAGGAGACCATCTCTCTAAACCACACCTTCAATGAGACACAGATCGAGTGGTTCAAGGCTGGCTCCGCCCTCAACAGGATGAAGGAGCTCCAGTAACTGGTGGCGAGGAGGGAGGCGGGGCCTGTAGGGGGCATGAGGGGTCGAGGCATGGGTTGAGAAGGGGAGAACCTAGAGAGGGGCTTCACAAAGAGGGAAAGATGATGTGGTAACCAGACTTGGGTTGGGAACCTCTGCTGTCCTGCTCTGTTAAAGAAAGAACACACAAACAATCACACACATACACAAGGTCGCTGTACAGATGAAAAGCGCACAGACACGCTTGTGAGCACGTACATGCACAGACAGGATTACTGTGAAGCCCTCCCAGTCGACAGGCAGAATTACACAAATGCACTCACACAAACACACATAGTCAAAGTTTAGCAGTGTGTCTAGATGCAACAGCGTTCATACTGGCAGCACTCCTCAGTTTGTTGATTGGTCCATCGTAGCATCCAGCTGACCTTTTCATACAGAGACTCTTCTTTTTCTACTGAACGAAGCAGTATTTTCCTGTTTGTAACACACGGGTATCACTGCTTTATTTCTCTAAAGGGGGGGGACTCTGTCTATCCTACTGAAACAGGCTTCTTGGGAGAATGAACCTAAAAGCATTATTCATAATCAGCTTCACTGTGTGCCTTCTCTAGAATCAGCCCCTGGATTAATAAAGATAGAGAAACATATTTAAAAGTTAGTAAAGCAGTAACAAGTTAACAGCCTCATACTGCAAAATCCGCTCCAAGGCAAGAGAGCTCTTGTTCTCATTATACCTCCTCTTTATTCCATCCAAACAGCTTCATAAGCAGAATGAGTTGTTGAACTCACATGAATGTGCTTTGCCCTCATTGTCCCCTATCCATTATCTCATGAGTCCAACTTACATTTCTTCAGTCACTGTTGACTAGAGCCATGTTGTAAACAAACTACCTGGCTCACGTATTTACTTTAAGCAGCATCAATGGAATCCTGTCCTCTACAGCTGCAGCCCACCCTCCACCCTCTTCTGAGATCTTGTGTTTTCATACTGCTGTTGTTGAGCTCACCCAGACTGTAGTTCACTCCAGTACATTTCACCAAACACCTGAATCTCCATACACTCCCTGCTGCTCTTCCCATGCTTGCTGGCTTGTTTTCAGTCTTTCTGCATGATGTAACACCTCACTGTGTGAGCACTTTTCTCCCTCTGCTGGGGCAAAACGCCAGAACAGGTTATGGGCTTTTCATTTTTCACCTGTTTTGCCCTGTGAGAGAGACATGATTGTCGGTCTGTGTTTGTATCAGTCTCCTCTTTGCTCATGCTGCCTTTTTTGTATTCACCAGGCTGGCTCATGCAATCCAAACTGAAAGTGTCTGTCATCAGGTTTGTGCTTCTGGACATTAAAGTTGCAATAGGTGAGATTTAATAAAGACAGAAAATCATCTGTGCCTAAAAACTCCTTATAAACAGCTGCTGCAGCCACACTATCCTGAGAAAGCTTCACACTTTAATAGTAGATATTGTGTCTTGTCATCCCGATTAACGAGTCTGCAGCTTCGGAGGCCTGGTTGTCCAGTTGGGATGATATGTTATTGTGGTTTCCCTGTGCCAACATCACCTGGAGTTGCCAGGGTGTGCAATTGCCTTGTGTAGCTGTTCTGGGAGACGACAGGCTATGTGAGGTTTGGTCCTCCATAGCATGGAAACGCCTGCTGCACAGTCTAGTGTGCATACGCCTACTATCACTTGGTAGAGTTACAAAAATAGTTTTAGGTGTGCTTTGCCATGCGCTGTTCTTCTCTGCAAAAATCTTCAGCATAAATGTACTGTGTGAGACTCTTATTGGACTGATATATAACTTGAAATGTTAATCATGTACTGTGTGAGACTGTATGGGACTGATATATAACTTGAAATGTTAATTACTGATACACAAGTTTTCAGACAAAGATTGAGATTCAAGATTGTTCTTGTATTGAGTTTGATAAAAACCGGTCTTGCTGTGATGTATACCTAATGTGCATCACTAAACCAGTGTGGTTATATATTTGCTTGGGGCTTAGGGATGTTAGAGGTCAGTGCTGCTGTGTTTTATGTGGGAGTACTGCTGGTCCTTTGTGTTTGGTTCTCATCATGCAGAGCCTATAAATCTTCACTGCTTCTTCATCCTGCTGCAACAGGAGTGAAGCATTTTGGATTGGTACAGTTTCTGCGATGAATCCCTGTGCACTGTAAAGTGTACTAAAGAGTCACTGAGTTTGTGCATGGTGTGACATACAGCTGCACTTTGTATTAGGGTGTGTACATAAAAATCATATCTATATTTATATATCTATCTATAGATAGATATATAATTTGAGTAAGCTCGAGTGAAGTGCTGTATGCTGTCTGGCTAAATGAGCCATTGTACCATAGCGTCATAATGTCTGTGCATTCTCAGTCATCCAGGTCATAGTAAACTGAAAAAACTTCGACCTAGAAATCTAAGTCCAGTTTTTTCAGCATAGTGTCATAAGGAGCAGGGGTTTTCAACCTGTGGTCTGCTCCCCCCCTGGTGGCCCACAAAGGCATTGCAAGTGGTCCCTGATCATGCATTCAATGTAGTTTCACTGTAGAATTATTTTTAATTTTTACTAATTTGCATCTATTGCTTACTGTTTGTGAATAATCAGATTCATGCAAATATATATAATTTAGAGAAGCTAAGATGACTTTCATGATCATGATTAAAGTTGTGGCCAGCCGGTGTAGCCACCCCACAGCAGTAGTCCTTAGGTTACTTCGTAGTCAGACTGGTGGTCCCTGGGTCACAGTTTGTTGAAAACCCCTGATATAGAGTCCCCTCTGGTATTTTATAAACTGATTCTCCTTTAATCTAATGGTCTCACATACCAGCTGACACTCAGAGTGTGGGTTCATTTACAGCACAGATACTGGGTTACAGCTTTGAAGGGATACCTTAGGAAGGTGACTCTTGATTGATTTGTGCAGTTTTCTTCAAATTTGTTTAGGTTTTGTTCAAATTGCTTTGGGGACAGAGAAGACTTGAACTAGTAGAAGTCTGACTTTAAAGACCTTTTCGACATAAATGACTCTTTACAGCTGCCAAAGACGCCTAATGAAAATGTTAAGAAATAATGATTATCCAAGAGTTGTGTTTGAAAACTCACAAAGTTTCATGTGAAATTTTTGAATTTCCATAACTATTATTTTGTGCAGGGTGTTGTTTGCTACAGAATTCACCAGGATCATCTTTCTTCTGTCACATTTAAAACACCCAGTTTGCTTATATGGTGATGTGAGTTACTGCTGTGATATTCACTGCTTCAGGCCTTTGGTGCTACTGCAAACTGACAAATCAGATGAAGTTGTTCATGAAGGCATCTTGTGGTGTTATACCCATTGTGTCATGTTGTACTTGAATGTGCTCTGTGTGGTCAGAATTCCTCCGATGTGTTTTAAATCAGTTCCTCAGCATGCTTTGATTGTTCAGACACAGAATGGAATAAGAACAGAGGTGACGTGTCCCTCATGCTCCTGTTTCAGCATTAAATTGTAAAAGATTATTCAAATAATGCAGTTTTATAGCTTGTGAAATATCTTAACATTTACAATATAAATGGTAATAAATTAATAAAGATAAAATCCTGAAGTTAATAGTTTTGCATTTGTCTTTTTTTTAATGATAAGATTATGGGTTTTGCAGCATGACCCTAAACATACTGACTGAGGAAGAAGTGGCTGCACTTAGTCAGGTCACTTATTAAGTGCATTTATTATATCACATATTTATCATTTTTCATTCAGTACTATTTAATAATGTTCACTGTCCACTTACATTTTGATAACTGTAACCCAGGCCATGAAATGTGAACACGTGTATGTACTCATAGCTAGTCAAACCTATATATTAAATACTTATACTTACCTGTGTGCATATTAATATATTTTTTAATGGTTTATTAATGTTCCAGTGAAACCGTGCTAGACCTGTATGTCCATATCAGCATAGTTTACCAGGCACTATAGTTATACAACTTTATAGAGCATGGATGCAGTTTTTAGTTTAAAATTTTATTTATGTATGTTTATTTTTCTTTATTTCTACTGATCTGTCTCATATTTATGACACTTTCAGGCTGGATCAATGAAAATGAAAAGTGACAAGAAATAAAGAAATTGAATTCTGGTTTGGTACCAAAAATGTTATGTTTATTTAATATTTGGCTAATATCATTACAGTTATATTAATTTGCTTATTTTTATAATCTGTGAAAATGCTAAAACTTTGGAAAGAAAAAACTTGTAGCCTATTATGACAAAGTTTAAAATGAGCACTGTACCTTTAAGTTTTTGCGACATGTCGTAAAAATTAATTGTAGTAAATCATCACGTGGCGACATCATGGACGTTTCCTAGGTAGCTATAGATTATTACACTTTGTGTGATCTTACATTAATTGTGAAAATATTTGTCAGTTTCACAGACGATGACTAAAGAATGAACACATAAGCGACTCGTCTTGTTTTCGATTGTTGGACCACAGCTGCTCTGGTTGTGTGTTTGTGTGTGAGTGAGTACCTGCTGCTCTCAGTGTGCATCATGTTCGTGTTGGTGGAGATGGTGGACACTGTCAGGATCGCTCCGTGGGACTTCGAAAGACAACTCAACGACGCCATAGTCGAGGAGCTCAACAAGAAACTGGCCAACAAGGTTTGTTAGCTTCCATACAAACCTCAGGACCCAACTCCATCTGGATTTGAGTTCAGTCTCGTAAAGCACAAGCTCCCTGAGATCAAGATGTAGAGGAGACGTGAAGAATTGATTTTGATTTTGATTTGATTTATTCTTTCAAGCATGTAAAGACAGTTGATATGTCAACACACATAATTTTACACATATCCAACAAATGCTAATCCATTATCAATTTGCTTATACCTAGTACATGTTGAATGGAGTAGGAAGAAGTCAGACTTATCCAGTCCTACCCCATGACATCATCTTACATCATTGGTTTGCCAGCAGTATCTCTACATAGATAATTCTCTTCTACACCACACAA